ACTGCCTTGGCCCAGCCTGGGAGGACTCTGAAGGGCGCCTCTCCCGTCAGAGTGTCCGTGGGAGGGAGTGTCCTGAGATCTGCATTACTGCGCGGAGTCCGCCTCTGCTCATACCTGCTTCTGGCGCCTGCCTTCCACACCTGTCGATCCCAAAGGCAGTCCCTGATAAACATTAAGCACATTAACTCCATTTCAGACTACTTCCTCAGGAATCAAACTTGTGACGCATTTAAAACAAACAAACAAGCAGAAAGGTGGATGAAAACTCTGAGAGGCAGGAATTGTATGAATTTGTTCATTCAACACTTACTGGGCCAGACTCTGTTCTAGATGCTGAGAATACAACAGTGAACGCAGGTGGCTGTGTTGAAGAAAGGGATTGTGAAACGCTTTGAAATCAACCTCTTTAACCCTCTTTTAGCTACAGTATCAATTACTCGCTATAAAAAGAGAGTAGTTATTTCTTCCACCCCGCATCACTCCCCCACCTGCCTAGGTTTTTTTCATTGTCTAAGATTATAATATTCCTGTTCTGTTCAAAAACCATAAAATCCATGATTGTCAAGTCTAAACAGGCCTCAGCCTCTTTGAGCCTTAATTCTCACATGGATTTCTCTCCTTACCTTTTACTACACCAGGTTGAAGGAAATTGCGAGGCTGAATTCCTATTTGCCTGGACACCTCATTCAGCCATTTCTGATTCTGAACTTATCCACTGTGGTAAAGTCTCTCTAACACTCCAAAGCCACCTGCCTGCCCAGGCATATCACTCAGGCATATGCATTTAATGGGGTTTTGTGGCTCTATGCGCTAACCAGGAAGAGACACAAGTTTTGTTGGTTTTCCAATCCCACAAACGCAGGGCGATTTGCTGTGGCCACTCAGGGCTCAGCACACGGAAGAGTGACCTACAGAGTCCCTGCCTCAGAGTCTCATGGGGGTATTAGCTCTCGCGGCTTCCCTCTTACCCTCCCAGCATAGGGAATCCATTTCTACTCTAGACAGCCCAGCTCTTACCTCCCAAGATATTTTACCCTAAAGGCTAGATTTTTGACACTCTAAATCCCCAAAGAAACCCCTCTTCTCTCTGGTATTTGCTGAAACATCCCTTTTCTGAGTTACATAACCGAAGGCCTGATTACTGCAATGCAAAAAATGAGCCAAAGAGGCGACTAATCCTCCAGGGAGTGGGCAGGCCCTGGCTTATACTTTTCGAATTATTTCACCATTATGCCTTCCCCTCCTCTCTGCTTGATTACGGCCCCTGTAGACAGCCTTCCTGAGAGAGGCCCTTGCTTCTTCAATGTATAAAACAGGTACTTCTGGACTCTCTCCTGCCATTTTTTGAAATCTTGTCTCCGCGTGGCCTCAGAAGGAAGGTAAATCTACGTATTCTGCTGTGCCGTCTCTCCCCCTCACTCCCTCGGCTCCTTTTTTTGTCCCTCCATCTACCTCAAAAACTTGTCCTATTTTAAATTGCACTGTACTTTGTATGTCATAGTTCCTGGAACATGTTTCTTACTGTCTTAAATGTGTGAATAAGAGGCTTCATATTTCTGCACTTCCAAATTACATTGTATTTTACTTCTGTTTAGTTCTCAAGTGACTTTCCTCTGTAAGCATCCAGGATGCATAACATAAATACAAAAAGATAGACGTTATGAACCAGATTAGAAGACATGGAGAAGAGGACAAAAACTTGGAACACTCATGTGATAGGAGCTAAAGAGTTACAGACTAGAGAACGTGGGAAAGGGGGAATATTCAAAGAGATAGTAGCGAAGAGATATCCAGTATTAAAGATATTACTTTTTATTTTCAAATGCAGTGTTAATTATTATGATTTCACTCGTATGTGGAATCTGACGAACAAACTGAACTAACAAGCAAAACAGAGGCAGAGTCATAGAGAGCAGGCTGACCGCTCTGGGCGTGGGGGCGGGGCAAAAAAGGAAGAGGATTCATGGACATGAACAACAGTGTGGATTGCAGGGGGGAGGGGGCGGGGGGGTGGAAGAGGGTGTACGAGGGATAAATGGTAACGGGAAAAATACAATAAAAATAAACTATTAAAATATATATAATATACTCTTCAGTGACAAAAATTTTGCATGTTTATTTGTTTACCCGTTTATAAAACTATATATACGATATAGGAAGAGTCCATTATGTGATAAATAGAGTGGAAATGGCCTTTGTAAAAGCTGATAAAATTAATTATATTCAATCCCCCAAGAACAGACAACTTCAAAGACATGTATAAAGAGTTTAATCAACAAGTTGAAAAATTAGACATGATAATCTTCAAGCTTCTCAAGTTTTTTCACAAACAATGGGCACACAACTTAAAAGTAAATTTTACCATCACTAAATTGTACAGTGAATTTTCAGAAACTAAATGGCCATGCACTCTGTTGACTTCATCAACAACAATCATTATTAGAAAATCATCAGAATTTCCTATAAATATCCACACAGAGAGTAAGTAACTTCCCCTGTCTCCGCTCCATCGCTGTTCCCTGTATTTGTTATACATCATGGGCAGACACTCAATTGTTGATAATAAACTATACTTTCTGGGGTTTTCATAAACAGAACAGTATTATGAAATCTTCCTATTCATATACTTAATATTTCCTTCATTTTAATGTGTGTTAATTCTGGAAATCATGTTGGGAAACAAATTCTGTTGTTTTCACAATTATTCACAATTCTATTATCCTTAATATTTTTTAAAGATTTTATTTATTTATTTTTAGAGAGAGAGGAAGGGAGGGAGAGAAACATCAACGTGTGGTTGCTTATTGCACACCCTCTTACTAAGACCTGGCCCGCCACCCAGACATGTGCCCTGACTGGGAATCAAACCAGCAACCCTTTGGTTCGCAGGTCAGCACTCAATCCACTGAGCCACACCAGCCAGGGCCTATTACCCTTAATATTTTCAAAATGCTGTGAAAATACGAGTTATTATTCCACATCTTAATATTCCATGTGCTAATGATATTTACTCTTTACCTGTAGATGAGAAAGATCAGCTAGAAGACTCCTGGCAATTTCCCTAAAGGAACATATCCAGGGTGTGCGAGTTTAGGAAAATCAAGATTACAATTCTATTTTGCCCCAAAAGGCAGACAATGGGGACATCTGTAATAGTGCAAACAATAAAAATAAAGTTAAAATAAAGATTGCAACCTTAACCTCCAGGACAGGACTTCTCAGACTCAGCACTACTACGTCTGGGGCAAGAACATTTTTGTTGCAGAGGTGCACATCATAGGAGATTGAGCACCATCCCCGAGCACCATTCTATCCACCAGATGCCAGTAGCACCTCCTTATCAGCTATGAACAACCAAAAATGTACCCAAATATTTCCAAATGTCTCCTGAGGTGTGAAATTTCCACATTGAGAACCACTGGTGTAGAGAGAACATGACTGCATGAGTGCATAAATGGATGAATACAATTTACACTTTTTTATATCCTACATATAACATTTTATTTCTCTATGGAGTAAATACGACCGGTCTATACAACCTTCTTTAAAGTTTGCATTCTCTATTAGATTAATCCTGCTGGCTGCTAACTATATTTTAACACTTCTATGACACATATTTTTCGGAGAAGAAGCAATTTCATCATCACATTGCAAATTATCAACAGCCCAGTATTTTTAACTACCAAATGAGCTTTGTTTCAAATTTTGATTTCCAATCATATTGAAATTCAAAGTAACACTATTTGAGTTAATAAAGTGCTATGTGATCATCTGTACTCATATTATTTCTGTGAGGCAGATGTTTAGTATTATGTTCCATCATTAGAGGAGATAAAGAATAAATTCAAGGTCATACAATGTGTCAGTGAAAAAATAAAAATAGACAACTTGTGTGGGCTTTTCTCTCCCATTAGGGTTGTTGTGATAAAAAATAAAGAACAGTAGATTATTTCTTTGATTTTTCCCAAAGATTTAGATAAAATAAATAATTTTTAATAATAACATAACTGATTTCTTAAGAATTATATCTAACACTCATATATTTACAAATGTAAAAGATCAACAGTTCCTAATATCACAAAGGTATACACTGTGATAAAAGAAAGTGGACAATAATGGAAGTGCCTTATCTCTCAGTAAGAATGCATTGCAAAACCCCTTGGCAGTCAGAGAAGAGAAAAAAATATTTAAATAACCTGATTTTGATTGCCAAAATTGAAGAATTCTACACACATGTGCATTTAGAATTATCAAATAAATAACAATTGTTCAAATCACACTCACATAAAATAAAAAAGATGTCTTTCTATTCATTAACATGTATAGATTTACAAAATTCAATATAGGCTTACAAGTACATTGATTTAAAAATAACATCTATATACATATAAAATATATGAATACATAGTTATTTAAGTGATATAAATCCACCAGTTTTAGATAAATGCTACGTCCTATTTTTTTTTTTTACTTCTTAATGTTTTCAATTCACAACAGTAAATGAGTATGCTTAGCTAAATATCAGGAAAAAAGCAAAAATATATATAATTATAAAATAGTTTAATGTACTTAAAATTTCTGAAATTATTTTAAAACACTGCAAAGCTAAAAGAAACTCTAAGCAATATCTAATGTGGGCACTGTAGGGAAAATGTTATTGATGAAAGCCTCAATATCTACCAAACTCTTAGCTAGAAATGTAGCAAAATAAACAATAAATTTCAAGACTCCTACTTGAAATGTTAAAACATGGAACAAAGCATACATTTAGTAATTCCAGAACATTAAAGAAAAGTAGTGTTTGCCGATGTAATTGAGCTCTTTAACTGGGAAAATATACTAAAATTCAGGATTTCTAAGCATACGTATCATTAAATTTAATTGATTGCAAAGTAGTTCCAAAATTCAACTTAATAGCATTCAATGTCATCATCAAGGGAAACTCCAGGGAGCTTAACCATTTTTAGTCATGTGAATGTCCTTGGGTCACCAAATCCACAGGTACCTATACTGAAGGCACTTCAGTCAGTATCAGGCTCATGGGTGTTTATAATTTATATGTTGGGGCTTAGTGAACCAGGATGTGGGTTAGCATGATTTCCATGAGGTGTTTCAAGACAATAGGGTAAACAGGAAATTAGGAAGGCAATCAAACATAAAGTGCACAATAAAACCAAAGTTGATGGGTAAGAAACTAGGTATGCGGATAAGACCCAGAGGCTAGGAAAGGCAGCGCAAGCAGCCAGTGGCCAAGAACTCTTGCCAACAGGCAAAAACACAGAAGCATAGCACCAAGAAGACCTTGTTCCTTGGATCCATATTCTGTACCAAACAGCATGCTTCTTGATTACCACCTTCCTGAACCAGAATTGGTTCCAAGGCTAACATGTGCCCTGGGCTGGTAGGGGTCAATGAGAAGCAAAGATACACAGAATACAGACCTGCCACCTCATTGCTCCCTAAGAATAGAGTATGTGGTAAGAGGGAGAAAAGCTCATTTCAGTATTTGTTATGATTTTGGCAAACCTCCAAAACTTATTTGCTAGCTCCAAAAGTGTGGGACATATTTTTAACAATGTCTGATGTAAGAATATGCTTTTGACCACCAAGTCTGTGTACATATGCATGTGTTGGCCTTTTGGCACATAGGGAGTCATCACTTTCACAACTATAGCTTCATGGAAATAAGGAAGTGAGAGACAGAAATGCTGGTGCAGATACTGTGAACTCCAGAGTACCATCCTTAATGAGTGTAGTAAGTGAGGAAAATCAGAACTTTGCTTTAACAAAATTTTGTCCCCCAAAGGTTTCCCCCAACATATTCATGATAGACCAAAAAAAAAAAAAAAAAAAAAAAAAAAATTCTAAACCTGGTTGAATTATCTTAGAAAACATAGAAAACTAGGACACTTTGTAGGATCATCTAGTACCACAGCTGCTTCACATATGAGTCCCATTGATCTTGCCACCTTGATCTGTGAGGTTCAATTCAATGTGGTTGAAAGCAGGATTATCAGTTCCACCATCTTCTACTGGATGAGATTTATAGCTTAAAACATGCTCCTTCTAAAAGAAAATGTTAACATGGTCATTACAAAAAAAACTGTTCATCCATTTAATTCTAAATAGTTACTATCAGTTTTCTTTTTTTAAGTCAGCTTTGTAGTCTACAGAGAGAGAGAGAGAACAAAAACAGATCATGAAATTAGGCAAAGACCTTCCTTGTCCCTCAGAGTTCAAAGGAGTGTGAAGACCCACCAGTCATCTATCCAGGTGATAAAAGCAGTCATACTAATTTGAGGAAAAAAGAAAGCCAACTTACTTTCTTAAAAATATCAAAATTGGATAAAATGTCCTCTTTAGTTAATAGGAATCTGCGGTCTAAGTTTTGTTTTCTTCCTCCTGAAAAACATATACATTAATTACATTATTAAAAGAATACCTATAACTTACCCAATGACGGCCCATTATACATGCATTTCACCTGGGCACATTCAACTCTACACACATAAAACAAAAAGAGAAGGAAATTTTTAAATGGTGCTGGAGACTTAGCCCACTGCCGCCCTTGCCTCAGTCCGCCCCTTTCTGCAAGGCTCTCACACTGATCAGTGCGCATCCAGTGCTTCAAGGTAAATGCAAGCCAACGGCCTCATCTGGCCCTCAACTAGAGAATGAGTCATCTGGCTCACTACTGGTAGGAAAACTGGTTTAAAAGCACCCTTCATGATCTACCACTAAAATATCAAACCGTCTACCTCGCTTCAGATGGTAGAGTTGCCTTTCCCCTATTTGGTGGCTATGTGTGTGAAGAAACGCCGGAAATTATGAACTGTTGAATACATTATTTAAATAAAAACCAATACGACGATTGGTATTTGATCCAATGCCTCTTCCCAAAGGTCTTGCTTTGGTTTGTTATTTTATTTGTGGATCAAAAAGGATGCTTTTAAAACTGTGTATCTCAAAGAGTGGTTCTCAAACTACCTCTGCACAAAGCACCTAGGAGAAATACTTAAAATGCTGATTCCTGGGCTCCAACCTGGAACAACCCAATTAGAACCTCTGGGGGGGGCACTGAATTCTGACTTTCACCAAGTTTTTGAAATGATCATTATGCCCTCGGATATTTAAGAAGCACCACTTCAGTAAAAATACTAGACTTTTAATTATGGGAACCTCTGCTGTTCTCAAGAGATCAGCTTTAGGTGAACGCACTCAACATCATTGCCTCTCTCTGCTGCAGACTCTACCAGGAGCCAGAGAGGCAGCGGTGCATAAAACCATCCCAGCACTCACAGTTCACGTCTGTTCAGGGAACTGTTTACCCCACTTAACTGGTGCACAGTGCATGGTGCGGTGAGGCTGAAACACCCACCAAGACTGTTTGGCATGTTCTGACAGATTCCTAGTATCCTATAGTAGATTTTAAATATAATTCCCAAGGAGCATCAGAATTTTATGTTTCTAGATTTTTTCCAAGGCGCTCGCTGCTGCTGTAGAGTAGGAATGTCATTTATGACATTTATAAAGTTGAAGTGTTTTTAACCAAACTGGATACCTGTTCACCTGGAGAGAGCATTACTTTTTAAAACAAAATACGTAGTTGTGCATGGTTTTCAGAGTCAAAGAGTTTAAGGGGAAAAAAAGGATTTCTCTAATACTCCATTCTTCAAGGAAAAAAATGAGTTAAATAAGGACCAAAAGTCTGATAGTACAGTAGGATTAGTTAGCTGTATTCCAGATCTAAACAACTGGGTTACTGGTGAGAAGTTTAAAGTCTGTCTTAATATACAGAATGGGGCAAAAATAGGTTCACAGTTGCGAGTATGCAAAACAGAGTTTATTCTTGTATTATTATTTAATACAAGAATATGGAACATATGAATTATAAACCTTCTTTTGTCCCACTCTGTATATTAAAAAAGACAAGAGAACAAGCTTACTGGGCTGGTAATTTTATTTATGAGAAAAAGCCCAGTCTTTTTTGAAAAGAAAGAGAATCATTTAAAACAACTGTTTGAGGAATAACAAATAACTACAAACTTTATTATAAATGAGTAATAATTATACATTGTAATATATATTATAATTAATATAATTATAGGTATAATTTATATTATTTTCACCAGTAATTATGCATGTGATTTATTCATTATAAACACAAGTGTCAGAAGTTTGGAAAATACTACTCTTCAGATTGCAAAAAACAATGACTGACAGAAGATTCCTTCAAGTGTCACAGTGCTGGTAGCTTTGTAGCACAAAGCAAAGATATCCCACATACTTGGACAAAGTGTAGGATGTCTGACTAGTTGTTAGGCACCTGATAAAGAGGGCAGCGGGCTGCCTCCCCCTAGTTCGGCTGCTATGGATGTACACGTGTGCGGGAATGTCGGACATCAGAGGGCCGGCACCTTTCACCGACCCACACTGCTCCCCTGGTCCGGGCCACTGCAGACCGCTCACCTGATTCCTGCAATAGCCTCCTACCTGCCCTCCTTCCCTTACAGACTATTCTCAAGGCTGGATCAGAGTGCTCCTTTGAGAATTATTGGAAAAGCAATTGAAGAAAATATCCCATGTAGTAGACCTAATAGGCACAGAAATGGAAAATAGGAGAGAAGAGATAAGAAAATTAGAAGAACTCTCAAAGACTCAAACATTTAATTTAATAGGAGTTTCCAGAAAGAGAAAGCGGGGAATTACAAAAGAAACAATATAAGGAAATGCCCTAGAACTGAAGATCATGAGTCTTCACACTGAAAGGACCCTACTGAAGGCCTTGGGCAGGGCAGTCACGGTGAAAGGGGCCACATGAAAGGGGTCAGCAGGTGGCACGACACTGGCATTCTCAACAGAAACATGGGAAGCTAGAAGGAAATTAAGACAGCCTCTCACACACAAGACACTTATTTTCAACCTAGGATTCTCTACTCAAACAATCAAGTAAAGGGAGAATCATAGACATTCTCTTGAGGTGTGCATCATTTCCAAACTCCCTTCTTGTTTCCATGGGCTCCATTCAATTTAGACCGTAAAGGAGAATTAGGAGGAGTTGGATGTAGATGGCAGGGAACCTAACACAGGAGAGAGACCAAGGGGCGTCACGGAGTGAGGACAAATTGAAGTCCCAGGATAACAGTTGTACAGCGATCCAAGGGAGCAGTGTATACTACGTGTATTATCCATTTGATTTTTTAAAGTTTATGAACATCTGAAAATAGCCCTCGCACACTATTTAATATAAAGCTTATAATCGTTATTCCCTACATGTGTGTACTCCTTTACAGTTTACAAAGGTCAGTACGGGACAATGGCACAGGGTTGTTGTAACAATATATGTAAAATCCCTAGCATTGTCGTAGGGATATACAATTTCTTTCCAGCATTTTATTTTTGTCTTAAAGCAGCTTGTGAGATAGGCAGGTCAATTATCATTGTTTTCATTTCACACACAAGATAGCTAAGGCTCAGAGTAGCTATATAGACTTCTCCAAGTTCACGCAGCTACTAAATGGCAGAATAAAGATTCAAATAAAGATGTGTCTTCTGCTTTTCAAATTTCCCATGAGTCAAATGGAATAAATAATTGAACTGGCTGTTAACAGGGCTATAGTGAAATAAGCATAAATAACTATAAAACGGATATAGTAAAAACGGATGTAGAGGTAAAAACAAAAACAAAAACAAAAACAATACTGGTGTTTCGATAGTTACCTGTTGATAAACTGATAAGCATTCCCACAAGTAATGTTACCAAAGTTCCAAGGGTGCTGAAGTACAGATATGATAACGAATACCAGTTATCCATCAGTGGAGTCCTGAGGGAGAGCAAAGCATAACTGTAAGATTTCAGGTAATGCTACTGGCAACTAAGAGTGTCAGTAGTCTTCACAGCAAAGTCTACATATAATATTTAATAATGATTTTAATGTCATAACCTGCTGTCCCAATTTTCTCTTATTGGATCAGGGATTAAAAGCATGACCGAACCGTGACTCTACACTATAGTACTAGCTGTCCATGTGTGTTCATCCCACTCTGAATGATGTTCCACACTGTTCTTGTCATGGGAAAGTCTATCATTACAAAGATAGGTAAAGTTCCTGCCCTCGTAAAGTTTATATTCTAGTGGGGAGAGAAATACAATAAACAAGTCAAGTAATCCATAAATATAATAACTTCCACTGATGGAAAGTGCTATAACAGAAGAGAAAACAGGTCACGTGACATTAATAGGTGGAAAGAAGAAACGACAATCTGACATGTGGTCAGAGAAAGCCTCTGTGAAGAAGTGACGCTTGAACTCAGAGCTGAGTAACAGAAAGTTCTGGAAGAATGCGTCTTAGCGAGGGGTAAACACCAGCGGACGGCAGCACAGTGAGAGTGTCTTAGGAACTTAAAAAATAAGAACCGAGTCTGGGTAACTGAAACTCAGTAGCTAGGCCACCAGAGGGTGTCTTACTGCCCTATGGATGATTTCCTAAGATGCCCTGTGGATTCAGGCCTTCATGCCCTTGCGTGTGCTGCTTCTCCATTCTGCAATGTACACTTCTTCCTTCTGTCCCTTCTCCCGGCCTCCTTCACCTGATTAACTCCTGCTTATGTAATATTCTCCTAAGAAGGTTTCCTTGACTCCACCCGGGAACGGTCAGGCTCTTTCTCCTCCTGGCTCCCGTGACAGCCCAGGGTATTGGGCTGCCTTATCTCAGCGCATTGTTCAATAGTTTATTTTTTTCTTACCCAACTTTCCTTCTGGTCATTTTCTGTGACAAGAATGACTTCCCAGACCTTCTCCCCCTAGCGCCAACCTCTGCATTCTTTGAGTGGCACTACCTCTGTGAGGTCTTCACGCTCATGTACGCTCCAGCTTTGTTTACGTTCATTCTTTTAACAATTACTTATCAACTATTTATTAGCTATTTACCAGTGCTAGTTATTATACTTATTGAGTTTACTGAGTTCATTGTTTTGTATATAATAACACACTGTCTCCAGCTAAATTATAATTTCCTGTAAGGCAGGAACCTCAGCGAATATGAGGGGAAGACTTTATCTATGGCTATTACATGAGGAGCCAGCCCAGGGCTGAGTACACAGTTCATACTTAGAACTTCTTGCTTATTCACTGAGTTATTTTATAAATAAGCTAACATATAAAAGTGATTATTATGGTACCAGGCACACAGTAAATCTCAGCCAATGTATTTGTTTTGGGAATTCAAATAACCGTTTTTTCTTAGGCTCTTGAAGTAAGGGAGATATTTACATAACCAGAACAAATGATGGCAAAATTGCGAAGTAAGTACATCCTGGACATCCTCCCACCTGCCCTTCCACTAATCTTTTCTCCCCTTCTGACTCTGTCTAATGACATGCCAACAGGGCCCTCATGAATGCTTTCCTGCCTGTCCAGACTGCTCCCTGCCTTTCCTCACCCCCCTCCCGACAACAGCCCACCTAGCCAAGTCTCTCTGAATTGGCCCCAGGTTCTGGAACTACCTTTAGAACCACCCATTAGGAGTTCCAGTCTTGAGCCCCCACTGACAGACATTCTCACAGCTGAATTCCCTGTGGGACAGAAATCACTAACACTGTCACATTACTTCTCTTGAGAGAGAGACATCGCCTGACCTTAGCAGGGGTGTCCAACCTTTTGGCTTCTCTGGGCCACACTGGAAGAAGAAGTGTTGGTTTGTGTGATTGCCACACATAATCATAAAAAAACCCTCAATGTTTTAAGTAAATTTACAATTTTGTATTGGGCCACATTCATAGCCTCCTCTTGAACAAGGAGGAGGTTGGGACCCCAGCCAGCGGTGCAGCTGAAAATTTGTGTATAACTTTTGTCTCCCCCAAAATTTAACTGCTCATAGCCTGCTGTTGACCAGAAGCCTTACCAACAACAGAAACAGTCAATGAACATATATTTTATATGTTATATGTATTATATACTGTATTCTTAGAATAAAATAAGCTGGAGAAAAGAAAATATTAACAAAGTCATAATGAAGAAAAATGTATTTATAGTACTTTATGTATTCATTGAAAAAAAAAATCTCTGTATAACTGAACCTACACAGTTCAGACTTGTCTTGTTCAAGGGTCAACTGCATACTCACTAAAGAAAACCTTGCTCTCATATCCACTATACAATAAAGCACTCATCTACCAACAGGTCAATATCATTTTATTAAATCAGCCAACATCTGTACCCAGAAGCTCAAAGGTGTATTGCATACTGAAAACTCCAGAAGGAAGGTCTCAGGTCCACTTGTTGCTAGTGCTCTAAGGATTTGGAGTCTTTAAAACTGAACAAATAGCAACTTCCAACATATTTGGATAACTGTAGCTTTTATTCAGTAAAAGCTATGTATTTCAAAAACTATATAAGCAATGTTTTTTTTCCATAATTGAGCTTTTCATTTTAAAAGTTTTTAAGATCACAAAGATAATTTTTTATTTGACTAGAGCTGATACTTCATAGCATTTACCCATAATGGAATTGTTGTTACTGTTGTTACTGTTGAAATCTTCTCCAGATCTGCAGGTAAAGCAGAAGTTTCTATAGAAACTAAGAAAATACGGCTTTTTCTTCTGCTATTTCTGAACAAACTATTATAGCAGAAAGCCACTGAGCTCTACTCATTTTGTAATTATGCAAAAGCCACAGCGTTGCGGGCAAGACAGAAAGAAACTAGGGTTCTCTACCTGTCACATATATTTTTAAAAATTATGACATTATAAAGCTTAATTCAGTACCTTTCAACATTGTTTACTTGAAGTACACTAGTAGAAAATGGCATTCCTGTCGTTGTCATCCAATTTGTCCCATTGTCTGTGCTATTCATACAGCCATAGGTTTCAAGAGGAAGTGGCATGGATCTCTCAGGAAGTGGAGGATAGAGTTGAGCTCCAATTCCAACCCAGAAAGAAGCAGCAAATCCAGTCAATAGACCAATAATTGCTCCCTGCAAAACAAGAGTATTTTAAAAAAAACCAAAAAACAACAGTTTGCTTTGAGATGGAAATTAACATTAGAATGTTAAGCTCAACACGGTCTATGCCAAATTTACCAGCTTCCTCCTAAAACTGTTCCCTCTCACAAGATCCTACCTCTTGTCAAAGGCGCCGTGGGCCCCTGATTCCTCAGCCCCGAGGACTCTGTAACCCCTTTCCCTTTCTTCAGCTCCCTATCTAGCCAGTCACCCGGTCCTGCCCATTTTTCTTTTCATATGTCTTATACTTCCATTTCTTCCGCTCTCTTTCCATGGCCAGCTTCTGCTCCGGCCCCCTTGTCTCTTCACACCCAAATCACTACAATAGTCCAGTCGTTGACTCCAGGCCAGCCCTATTTTTATTTAATCTGTGAACAAATGGCATGCCACGTGAGCCATTTGTTCACAGGAAGAAGACAGCATCCACAGAGTTCATTCCTATAGTTGACACCGTGCAGGCCTGGAACGGCACTGCAGGGTAATTGCCGGGGGGGGGGGGGGGGGAGGGAAGAGCGAGGATATTCACAAAAGACTGCAATGGTGCACATAACCAAGCCAGTATTTCCAGAGATAAATGGAGACGTCCTCTCTGAGGACATTGGCTTTCCCAGTCTGTGGAAGACTTGGGCCCCCTACTCTTGCTTTTTACCAGTCATCCAGGTGTTTTGCCAGCTCCGGAATGATTTAAGCCCTGCTTCCACATGCTGGGGACAAAAACAAACCTGGAGCTGGGAAGGCCCTTCCTCTGGGGTGGAATTTCCCTCCTTTCTTTAAGAATAATGATCAGAGGGGGCAGCCCGTACCTCAGGCTCCACATACAGAGGATGGGGGACAATATTTGAAGGAAGGGAAAAACATAAGCAAAATCACAATGGCAGAATGAGAAAGCTGCTGACCAGATCAGAGGATTTCTGTTACGGGCAAGGGCTGTGAGCTCTTTCGTTAAGCTGGGGGCCCTTGAAAGCAGAGTGAGCCTTCTTTATTTTTGAGGCCCCAACATTTACGGCAGCTTTAAATATCAGAAGTAGAAACTTTCTGGTCAACGTGGTGAAAACCTTATTGCTTCTCTGCTGTGCTCTGGATATTCACAAGTATCCTCAGCTCTACTCTCCTTAAATCTCTCATTTCTGAGCCTTCTCAATCTCCTTCTTTAATTGTTAATGGTTAATTTTCAAGACGAGCAAAACGACAAATGCATGAAAAATGTCGCCCTTTAATTATATTATGAATATTAGAAATTGCACTATATTGTTCTGGCCATTTACATTGAGCTTCAAAACTGCAGGGTCCCAGTGCACTGCGCTTCATTGTGCACCTCAGCGAAGTTGATATGAGTAATCTAAGTCGCCGAGACAAGTCCCTGCTGATGGATGTCATACGAACCACATCTTTACAATGAGGAAAAATTGCAAAGCCACTACTGCACTTTGGAAGGAAAGCTTTACACATATTCATTATTAACACTTACAGTTGAGTTGGCAAAGGGAACCAAAATGCCCAAAGAAAACAAGCCCAGAAGTGGTCCGCCGATCATGCCAATTATGCTGAGTGCTGCCTATAAAAATAAGATAAAGTCAGCAATTAGAAATCTCAAGCCCAGAATTAAAATGGTTCTAATTAATTTCATCAGGATGAGGATTTAAGGTATTCAGCCTCCTCCCAAAAAGCATGGCAGTCTTGTCATTGGCAAAGAGATCATCAGAGCTTAGAAACTTCTGCTTCCGCTTCTCAGTGTCAAGTGTCCACGTGCTCCTTCAGGTATCCTCACTAAGGGAATCGAAATGTAAGGGAGGTGGAGACGCAGGAGACAACAGGAGCACCCGTCGGAAACCCGAAGTCAGCAGTGACAACACTCCTCCCAGCCTTGTTCTCTCAGGCTTTGATAACCAATCACATCGCTCCCTTGTGCTTTCATAGTCTCAAGTCCTCCCCAAAACAAGCCTGTAGATAAGCACTGCTAAGTGACCACAGGTGGCAAAGAAACCCAACGCCATCCTTGTTTCCCTAAGTATGGAACTAGAGCGAAAACATGATTTTTAAAAAGACTGATCAAATCATGTAGAAAGAGATTTAAAATCTGATTGACTAATGGCAACCTTTGCTTTGAGGTATAGATGCCAAAATCATGGTAGTGAAGTTTACAATGTGAAGAACGGAGAAATGCAAATAGCTGAAACTGCCAAGAGATCTGCGTTCCCAATAATCAGATAGCTAGTTTTTGAGAGTGGATAGAACCACCAAAGAAGCATCAGGGACACATTAATTTGTCCACAGATAAAAAGCCTACCTTACGAACCAGGGAAGGAACTTGGAGATTGGTGAGAGGGAATGGGTTTGAGGAGGATGTAGACTGGAGATACGATCCTAGGGGGTCAGTTCACAACTTCCCTTGAAGCCATTCTCGAAAGGTTACATCCTATGTGATTCCATTTATATAAGAATGTTATATAGCAGTCTTGATGTGGCAAATGATAGAAATGGGAAATAAATTAGTGGTTGCAGGGGTTAAGGAGGAAGTAGGGGCAGGAAGGAAGTCGGGGTGGCTACAAAAGGGCAATAGGAGGGACCCTTGTGGTGATGGAAATGTTCCATCTCTTGGCTGTATCAATGTCAATATCCTGCTTGTGATGTTGTACTGCTGTTTTGCAAGATGTCACCATAACATTGGAAGGAAGCAGGTAAAGCATGTATATGAGATCTATTACTTTCTACAATTGCATGTAAATCTACAATTACCTCAAAAAGAAAAGCTTCATTTAAAAGTTTGTTTTTTTTTTACAAATAATTTAGTCATCTCTGTTCCTCTATATGGTAAATACATAAAAACAGAAGTCTAGAAGAACAGTCACATCAATTTTAAAAATAAAAGCAACTATGACTCAAAGCTTTGAGGGTCAGCTCTTACCTGCAACAAAGCCCCCATTAGTGAAGCCAAGGCAGCCATTCCAATACACAGCACTCCAAACAGCACACCTAGGTGGATGACATAAAAGCCAGGGTAAAGCCCAGACCCAGGGGATTAGACTTCTCAATAGAATGAGCTGGCACACCTTTGACTCACAGCCATATGACTCTGGTGAAGAATGGCTACCTTCATCAGAGCCAGCTGGAAAAGGAAAAGGGTGTTTTCCTACAGAATCAGCAGCGTGTGAAGGAAAGAATATCCTGATATTGTGTCCAGGGATTAATGACAACGTTAGGTTATATAAGTAAGGAATCCCTAGGATTAAGTATAGGAATTTTAAAGCTAAGAACGGTTGTGTTATTAATCTAATCACTTGTCGACATTTTTTTTTTTAATATAAATGAAGGTTCCAGTCCCTGTTTTCAGTTTGCCAAAAATAGGACACTGTTCAACACTGCTCTGTACAATGTGGTAGGGGAGGGGAGTAATATACATTGGAAATTAGAGTCTTCTGACTTTAAGGGTTCATTTCCTCTGGGAAGTGGCAATCCACACAGAGGGGTGGTATAGGACCTTAGGCCCTCTCATAACCTCCACCAACAAGCCCAAGCCTTTCCTGTTAAGCTAGCAAACAAAGGCAATTTCAAGACAAATATATTTTCCCTTCTGCTAAAATTTCTCCAAAAACTTGTTGATAGAAATTCTGCAGCCACCACTGCTGGTCAGATTATGGGGTTTTTTGACTTTCAGTATTTTCCAGATTTTCTCCAAGTATGTACTTTACTATCTAAATTATAGGAAAACCTATTTAAAAAAAATAAACTTTAAAGACTTCCATTCAGCAAAGATCACCTGAAGTCAATCAATATAACTACCCACATATACAACTCAAAATACAGAATGATAAATAAGAAATTTGCTCATCATAGAACTGGTGCATTCCTTGTGTTATGTTGCTCCTATCTTACTTGCACTGACCCTCACACCTTTGTTGAGTATATTGGGTAAGTAATTTTATTGCAGCTAAATGGAAAAACTTACATTATTTTTTAATTTTTTTTGCAAAGAGCTCTTATTTCAATGTATTTTTATGTCTCTGATTCTAATATAAATAACATTAGCTTGAGTCTTCTCCATTTGATAGCTCATGAATGCCCACCATTATGGACTTTGGTATTCAAAGTTATTGAAAACAGTCAAATCATCTGCCATGTTTTTCTTAATGAAGTCCTTACTGTAAATACCTCGAGATTATAAGTCTCGTTATTAATCATCAGCAGTATCATTCTTTGACCACCAGTTAGTGCCTCTTATTTTGTATGCATTATCTCTAAACCTCACAGTATCCCTGTAAGGTGAATATTTTTCATATAAAGAGGCTCAAATGGGTTATTGGGTTTGCTCAAGACTAACAGTGAGTAAATTAATGAAGCAAGATGAGGTCTGTCTGGCTTCAAAAGCTTCTATTCATTCTGCTACACCTCTGAGCTTCCATAATCCCTTAAGGAGCCAGTCTAAATATTCTTCAGGAAGTATTGACTGTTCTGAAATTATGCTCCAGGATTAAAACTGAGTGCATAATAAAATGATGCGATACTACATAAATTTAGGGGACAATGTAGAATATAAATTAAGCTCTCGTTTCAGGTTATAGTCATGACAATTATATATAGAATTATGGCTCAAAACTGGGTATTATATACAATTTCTTTGACAGTTTGTTCCTGTTATTGTGCTAAGGTTAAAGATTCTTCTAAAAAAGTTGTCATTCATTCTAAAACAAGTACACCCAAGTGTCGGGAAACGCCCTGTCTGGTTTCAGGAACTGTAACCCAGCCCACAGGCCGGAGGGTCCCAAGGCTGGAAACACGCAGGGAGGCCTGGGAGAAAACAGGCCCCTGAGGAGACATGGCCTGTCCCCCCTGGCAGGGGCGCAGCTCCTGCCTCTGCTTTGCCGTGAGATGATCGGTGATCCACGACAGGTAAGTTATCTCATGCAGAGATGACAACCTAAGACAGATACCGACCGGGTATTGGCAGCAGACAAGAAACTGGGGGACGTGGAGAAGGGGTAAAAAGGCCCGCACCCCTCGGCTCAGCTTGGACATGGCCGGAGTCCTCATTCTATCTGAAACAAGTTTCCTTGTCTCTTGGCGGCTCCCTTCCCCAGCCTGGCTCAGGCTCGAAACTATACTGGAGTCAGTCCTAAACCAGATCTGGCAGTTCCGGGGAAATCAGGCCTGAAGGTAAATTCTTTACAGTGTGCTTTGTTTTCCCCTCGGAAGCTACAGCCAGCTCATGCTGGGAAGGAAATTGACATTATTCACAGACCTTAACCCTATACCCTTAGGCACTTTTATGTTTACTAAGCTCTTGTGTTTAGCTATCTCTCTGGTTTACTAGTCTCCTCTCAGACCCATGTAAACCCATGTAAACCCATGTAAATCGGTGTGTTCCTGCCATTTGTTTTCTTCAAAACATCACCCATTCTCTGTAAACATTAACATACAGATGTAATGAGATAACCTGTGCATTCCTGTTACCTAGCCCCACTGATAACCCTTTCAATAAAAGCCTTTGAAGAAAGGGGCTGGGGGTGCTTCTCCACTAAGAGGGAAGTGCCCCGTCCCCTCTCCCGGCAAACAGAGAAGTGTTTGCAATGACTTGTGCTTATTCCCCCATCCACGACACTCCCAGGATGGGCTCTGCGGGATTCAGAGCCCTGCTCCCATCTCAGCGGCCCCGACAGCAGCCCTCAGATCCCGGAGCACCACGCTCCCCACGACACGCTCCATTCCCCGCACCCCGCGGCAGCTGCTGCCCAGACAGGCCGAGCAACGACCCGCAGCAGCGCTCCCCCACATGACACTCAAGACATCGAAATGAAGAATAAAGTATACCAGGCAGGTTTCTTTGAGTTAGATTCTATATCTGGGTCATGTGGTAACTGGAGGCCTTTAAACCTTTCCATTCAAGCTGATATTAAACCCCTACTTAGGTTCTATAATCTAAAAATAGAATTTTAGCATTCCTTGCACAATTTCATAGGCCACCTTCAGACAATCTATATGTACAGAAAGAACAGGCAATCAAGTCGAGTCAAAAGGCATAATGCTCTGTTTCTTTACCTTTAGTTCGTGCACACAGATGATTACCTTAAACTGACAGCTCCTTCTTAGGTAGTATAAAAAAAGTGTGGTGCCTAGTTCCAAACTAGGATAGTTCTTAAAATTTTGGTCAAAGTTGAAAAGGGAAGGGGTTGAATTTTTTCCCTGTGGCTAAGATTTTAACAGACTTGGATTAGGAAATTGTTCTTTGTGGTTCATGACAATTCACTTTTTGATGTGTGTCTCCCAAATCTTGATGGCAAATATGTCAAAGGCATACATATGTGTATATATTTACACTCAGAGGTTCTTACTCTGTATCGTTCATGGAAAAGAGTATATCTGCAAATCATCGCCCAGAGTTAAAAAGTGAACTGTGAAAATGGAAACTTACTCATTCCTTGGGAAATCCAAGAGAGAGACTTTTCTGAAAGTGAGCCAAAGTGAGGTTTGACTAAATCTTCCACAGTCACTGCAGCTAAGGCATTAATACTAGAGGACACTGTGCTGTAAAAGAAAATAAAACTTTTGATTTAGAATATTTAAACTTTAATGATACTTTAAGTGGGAATGAGAGAAGGGAAAACAAATCATTACTTCTGAAATATATCCAGATTTCTACTGTATTATTTTTAATGATCATAGCATTATCTTCCTGAAAGCTGTTATCTAAGAATGATTCAGGTGACATTTATAGGCTTAATAGTGAAAAATGATAATTTAATGTTGTTTCCATGTTGCAATTAATCCTCAGTGTTTACAGAAAGGATCTGTACTGCATAGATTATGCAGTATTATTATATAATGACTTCAAAACACACTTTGTGCACAGAAAGACTGTCGTAAATCCTCTCTAACATATGCCATAAAGATCAATATCATTAATTTCCTGATTCCTCACTAACATATGCTGTAGTTTATTAATAATAAGAATTCCCTGGAGCAAACACAGAAGGAAAGTGCAAAGAATAAGTTCAAAGAGAGTGTATATTATTCGGCATGTAAGTAGGAAATGTTAATTCTAATTTTCCATTTAACCATACTTTAGCCACATGTATATTTTAAACCAAGACTGTCAGCACCCATTTTTGATAGCTGTCATCATTGATCACTATTGTTGCGACTCTCTAGGGTATGTGACAGTGTATTAGGGAGTAGGGACCAAGTTACAAGTGCAGATAACAGACCGCTAGCCCACAGAGGTCAGAGTCACCCAACAGCGGATCCTGGAGGAGGCTGCCTCCGGTGGGCCACCTGCGCCCATGTCTGGAATTCAGCTTTATCCCCACCAATATCCAATTAAAAAGGAAACTATCAACAGGGACACCATGTATTATTAGAGTCAAAGGGCATACCTTAATGTTCCACTGTAAGCACAGGCCACAAAAAGCCCAGGAAGTCCTGGATAATCTTGTAGGATGTCCAGGACCAAATATGGCATGAGCTGAAAAATCGCAAAATTTACTCCTGAGTGCCATTTGCTACCAAGTAAACTTAACTAATGCCTCACTTATCATGCACTTTTCAGGAACTAGAGGTAGCTATTTCATATAGCTGAACCTTCCAAATACCTAAAATTAAACCCTTTAACTGCTAAGACCTAAAGAAAAGAAGAGCGTGGTAGTTAAGGCTACAGTAGGCTCAGGATCCAGACAGACATGGCTTTTTTAACTTAATTTCTCTGACCCTCAGTTTCCTCATCTGTGAAATAAGGGTAATAATACTAACCTCATAGAGTTGTTATAAAAGATAAATTAGATAATCTCTGTAAAACTGTTAGTACACTATCTGGAATACAGTAAATGCTTTATAAAAGACAGCTGTGCTCATTCTTTGAAGTAATAAATCAATTCAAACATATTTTACTCGCCTCTGTGCAAAGCAGTGTTTATTTAACTTTACCGGATGACTCAAGGCTATCCTTGTGAACTTCAATCACTGCCCAGGACTGAACGTTAATTACAGCCGCCTGAGACATAGTGACGCGTGGAAAGCAATGTCAGCAAAGTCCTGACACTTGCTCCTTTTTAGCAACTTCCTGATACCAACTTGGTTTTTTGATAAATTACTTGAAAAATAGGTATTAAATAAGGATAGGAAGGTGTATGATTTGAGCACCGTGCTACATGGTAGCCTTAAAGAAAAAATGGATTTTTAAGTCACAAGGGGCCTATGTAGATAATTCTCCAGAAAAAATGTCCTCTCGTTTGCATTGAAACATTATTCATTCCTTCTCCCTCAGTCCAGGGTGAATGCCGGTCCCGGCCTCATCAGACTGATCCACTTCACTTAACAGAGGTTGGTTTGGGGGATATGGAAAAGCATCCTCCATTGTGTGAAGGGTCTGCATTGAATTGCTCTAGCAATGCTTCCTCCATGTTCTCCGAAGCTTACTAACTCTTTATTCACAGATATGAGAATAGCATTTCTCTCTCCATGAAATGAAGACCCAATATTTGTAAGATATCTTAAAAGTCTAACTTCAAGCAATATTCTACACATAAGCAAAGGGAAAGTGTCCATTGTTGGTGTTAGAATAAGAACTAAAAATCTTCTACACTGTTACCACCGTTCTCAAAATCTTTGGGGTGATTATTTCATATTCTGAACAGCCTCCTCAGGTAAAGGCAAAATCAATGAGGTAAGATTGATTAGAGAAAATTAGTAAAACTGTATGTAGGTACGAATCCTGCTTCCTTAGGGTGAGCTCCTGCAGCACGGAGCAGAAATGTATCTTTGCATTCCTCAGGGAAGACTTTGACCTCATCTTCTTCTGTGCCTTATTTGTATTGTATTCCCAGTGAAATGTTAGATGCATTAATGACACAGTACTAGAAACATCCTGTCACGAGAATACCTCTTTGTTTTTCAAACATTTAGCACACACTCTCTAAATGATGGGTGTGTGCATGTGAGATCTTTGTATGCTTTCTATGACAAGGAACCTCAAGGTTGGGAAGTTGTAGGTTTTATGTGTTGCTTTTTTGTTGTTGTTGTTCAGGGTAAGAGGAAGGTATATGAAAAAAAATTTTTCAAAATCCTTATTGTCTTCATGATACAAACTACAGACAATAAAGACTGACCAAAAAAATCACAAATATTCTTGACCAGGGGAATATATTGGAAGAGTGCTTCCATTTTCAGAGTAAACATGATTCTTGTATTCTCTGGGTAAATAGGAAGGCTCTGTTTACCATGAGGAGGGCATGTTTTAAGATAGGGTTGAGTTACACAGCTCAGGATGCTCTCATTTTCTAACTCCACAAAAATGGTATTTTTCTGGAAATATGTGATGCATTTGCACGAACATGAAATTCAGCCTGTCTTTAATTCTAATGAATCCCCTGGGCACTTGATTTATAAGTGAGCCTTAGGAAATAATTTTGGCAAGAACTAAGAGAAAAAGAACTCAGGCTTTATACTCTGGTAGTCCTGGGTTTGAATTCTAGTTCCGCTTTCTGAAAGACAATATATGGCACAGAGGCTCAAAGTTAGGCCTCTGGGGGCAGCCTGCCTGGGCTTGAATCCTGGCTCCAGCTTTACTAGCTGGTCATCTCCTTCTCTGTGCCTCAATTTCCTCATCCTTAAAAGGGAGATAATCTTAGAACCTATCCCAGAGTGTGGCTTTCAGAATTAAGAGCTGAAATTTATACAAAGCACTTATGGTAGTTCCTGACCCATGGCAAATATCTGATCAGTGCTGGCTGCTATTCCTATTTATTAGCTATGTGACCTTGGGCAATTTATGTAACCTCTCTGAGATTCACTCATTCCCTTCTCTGTAAACTAAAAATTACAAGGTTGTGAGAATGAGATAAAGCATGCAAAGCTCTTTGCATAGAATCTTATCATATAGTTAGTATTCAGTAAATGTTCACTTATTAGATCCATTTCTCTGTCATTTAAAAACTGACTGGCAAGGGGAATATAGTCAATAATATAATAAATTTGCACGGTGAGAGATCACTAGATTTAGTGGGATGACCACATTGTATGGTATAAAAATGCCAAATTACTATATTGTATACTTGAAACTAATATAACTAATATAACATTGTAAAACTACTATATTTAAAAAAAATAAAAACTGGAAAGTAAACTATAAATGAGAGATCTAACAATACCACAAAAAGTTCTATGGTAACATGGTTTGTATATAGTTTTAGCTTTTTATAAATGTGTTTACTTTTCTACTCCCAGACTTAAACTATTTTTACTTAACACTTGGCTTGAAATTTTTTTCAGGTATTTCAATATTTTAATCTTGGATACAGCATTCTTTATTCTTGCTATATCTGCTGAAGTAATTTGCCAAATGCTTTATAGAAATCAAACATGATCCTATTATGCCTATTTATTGTTTATCTACAAGAGCATGAATATTCTTTCTTCTCAACTAATAAGCTTTCAGAATGATATTAATGCACACGTAAGAAAGGCACGGTACTGAACCTGGTCTAGTGCAGACACTTCGTTGTTTGTCCAGGGATCGCAGTCTTGGTACCTGGAATACAGGGCAAGCCCAGAGAACACTGCGCAGATGAGGATTACCCAGAGTCCCAGAAGGTTGACATAGAGAGACCTACAGAAGTGAAAACAAACCAGCAAGTGACAGTTGTAATTTCCATCCCAAAGAGGAAAGTTGTTACATAAACAGAAGAAACTTTCATGATTATATTCAATAAATGCATATTATCTTCTGTTTATCAAAAACAATTACTTATTTTATCCTGGCCTAACTTTCTATTTATGATGTCAATTAACATGTTTGGAAATACTTAGAACAGGAGAGGTTTTCCCAGAGTTCCATGGGTGTTACCTTTATAATGGTATCTAATTATACTACTTCAGGCCTTCTTGTCATGAAGTAAAAGATTTTTAATCATCAACGGATCGGCAACTATCACTCATTTTCCTTTTAAAAGCACTACAGTTTAAACTGCTAAATATACTTAGCATCTACATAGCAACTCATCAAATGTGTTTAAATGTGGTTTGTAACACCATCCATTAGTATGAAAGGCAAACCTGTATTCCTTGAACAGTATCTTCCCCAACAATGTTCAGCATCATTTTTTAATTTAATCTTTATTGTATTTTTTCCCATTACCATTTAGTCCCCTTATACCCCCTCCCCCTAGCAATCACCACACTGTTGCGCATGTCCATGAGTCCTTTCCCCTTTTTGCTCAATCCCTCCGCCCACCCGCCCACTGCCCCCACACGGTGTGTGCCCCAGTAGAATGCAAAGGTTTACGGAACAGTGCTGGAGCCAGACCGGAACATAAAACACGTCTCTACCTACCATATGTGACCCTGGGCAAATAATTTAGCCTGTCTGATCCTCAGTTTCTTCACTTGCACCTAGAGATAACAATGTCTACCTCATGGAGTTATAAGACTAAATGAAAGAGTATATATTATATGACACAGAGCTTGGCAAGTAATAAACACTTGTTAAATGGTAGTTATTGATATTAGTAGTATTGATGCCATTGAATGCTGTATCTTAATAATCAGTTGAATGGTAAACATTTCTCTCAATAAGGCAGCTACACTTTTCTCCAGTGGTGCTATGGTAGGCGCTGTGATGATCTGCCCCAGCATGAGGAGAGGTGCCACCCCTACAGTCATGGCTCCTTCTTTGGGGCATCTAATGACCACTGGATTCAGAGACTGAAAAGCTCATTCTCCTCGGCCTCACTTGGGACATGTCTGAAGACTCGCCAGAGCTTTAGGTCTCTGTTGAGACTGCATCACAGTGCACCTTCTCCCTCTGGCATTCCTGCCCTCCCCCCTTCCCTCGCTTCCCTAAGAGACTCTGGCATGCCAACCACCCCAGCGTCTGCTGCCGGTTGGGCGGACCCCGCAACGGGGCCAAACAACAGACTGCTAGCCATTTTTCCTGATTGACTAAATTTACTATGTTTTGTTACTGTCTAAAAAATAGATTAAGTAACTATATCTCCTCTCCAAAGCATCAGAAAAGATACCCAGGCCCTTCCTGCTCAGGCACTCCCCTTGCCTGTATATGAGTTTAATACTTTACCGTATTGTTTTATGTGGCTTGAATGCTATTCAAATAGATCACTTATCAACGTCTGATGTTGTCCATGGTCCACCAAGGCCAGTAAGTCTGATTTGGGGCTGGGATCCATTCTTCCCATGGAGCCAGCATTAGAAAGCCAGTGAAAATGGTTTCCCTGAGCTTAGGTAGTCTGCCTTGTTAAGGAGGCCCATTGGGCTATTCTGAAGGAAAACTTTTTTTTTTAAGGAAGCTCTAATACTGTTCTTTTAGTTACAAAAGTGGGCTTTGTGAGCTTCATGTTCCCAACAAAATAGAAGAGCATGTGCACAATTATTAATACTTTGGCAAATGCATCAGTCCTAGTATAGATTTAAAGTCAGGTGGATTACTGGATATATAAGTTACCTTCATTCAAAGTTCCTTAAAATACCACAACTCTTAAGCCCACTTTTGGGGGATTGCCTATCCAGGTATTGTACTCACATTCATACAGATTTTTTATTATGGAATTTTGTCAAAGACAATGTCTAAACCAACCTACTCTCAATATATTGAGATCTGACATGTGACATCACAGTATTTTCATGTTTTCATTAGACCAGAAATAGAATTGCCACTCCTTGTCCCATCCCAATCACTCTGATACTCTTAATCAACCTATGTAGAGTTTTTAAGCCCCTAAACACCTGTGGGCTGAGTCGGCCTCATCTGTCAATGTGGGAAGTGGCAGTCACCAAGCTTATCTGAGGCCTCCTGAGAAAGAACCGGCCACTGTTCGTACTTTTTGTTCAAGCTAATGGGCTCGGGAGTTCTCCGATGGTGTTGTCCTTCTGATTTCTGTGCTTTGTCCAAATCACTCTGCCTACCTGGAAGGCGCTCCCACTCTTCCCACATGTGATCCTTCTTTAGGATCTGCCTGGTTGACAGGAGTCTCTCAACCAGGATTCACATCCCATGATTTGAAGTGGGAAAAGGAATTCACATTTGATAGACCCCTACCATCTGTGTATTGAACACAGCATTTTACAACACCTCCCATGAGACGTATAATATTTCTCATGCTCCTTTTACAAGTTTAGAAACTGAAGTTCAGAGAGACTAAGTAACTTGCCCAGGATCACTCAAGTAGCAAATATTAGAGCAGAGTTTTAAACCCATGACTGTCTGACAATAAAATATACCAGCACATCTAGGTTGCTCTGAAACATTTCCTCTATTGTGATTGTGTTTCATGGAACTGTTGTACCTCTCTAGTGTTATTTCACTAGAGTATAGTATTTTACTTGAGTATATTACTTGAGTATTAGAGTATTTTACTTGAATATATTTTCCTAATTTGCTGCTAAGTTACTTGATGACAAGAGCCATAATTTGTAATTTCCCCATATATCCTTGTACAAACAGATGCACAATAAATGCCTTTTTATTTAATAAGATTTCTTTTCCTTAATAATTCATATAAGTATTTAAATATCTTAGGTAAAACATACAGTACCACTTTGTTCTACTCCATCCTTTCATGTATCTGTTGGAATTTCATGACATAAAACATAGACTTAAGCAAACTTAAGCTTGACTTATGAAAGATTTTCCATAAAGATAATCAATTGTTATTAAGGATACATATACCATAGTTTGGCTTACAGTTTTGCCTGGAATCTATTTTTACAGGAAATATATCTCTGTACTTGGGATTGGTTGACACCATACAGGCTGGTCCAAGTGAAGGTCCCTCCTATAAGAATTGTCCAGAACGTGTGTCTTTGCAAAGGATTAGGATTAAAACTAAATGAAAACAGAAAGAAAACAAATCAGAACTATTGGGAGAAAAAACTACAGAAATCGCCCCAGAGTATTTTTGGAAGCAAACAAGGAATACTAATATAAATATATACACATACATAGGTACAAATTTATTAAGTAATTGTAAAAGGTAGAAATATTCCTAACTTAAGTTCAGTGAAATAAAATTGATACTTTCAGAGAGTTGGGAATTCTAGATGGGATTGGGAAAAAAAATGAACATTCTAATAATTCTGAGCATTTATACAAATTATTCTCCCATGGCTATAGGAAGTAATTTAAACCAGTCTTCCATGTTGTAATCAGAGAAGAGCATGAAGCTAAGAAAGAAAGAGAAGGGCACCTAAGTACATGGCAGCAACAGATAGAGTACTGAAATGAACACAAAATTGACACATCTTGTGTGTATAATTCCTCTCTTAGCACATGTACACAGTTATAATTGATATTCAAGCATAAGAATTCAGTCAATTAATAGTGTAAAAGTTTTCATGTTCTAAAACTACTATGTCGCAATAATTGTGCTTTCTTTAAATGCTGCGTACACAAGCTAAATACTAAAAGTTCGAAGTCACTTTATGATATGTACCGAATATTGTTACAAGGAAAGCTCAACTTCCACATTTAATACATCTTTTAACCCTTAATGTATCACCTTGGGGGAATGATTCTGTTCATCTCTGATACACAACAGAAGCTTTAAAAATTTCTTCAAAACTAGCTTTCATGGAAACTTTCTGAACATTATACAATTCTGAAAATGTTTCCAATCAGTTGAGTAAAATGTTCCAATTTTGTGTATATTCTGGCATTCCTATAAAAAGATTAGAACATCTATTCCATATTCTAACATTTAATATCAAAGTCGAAGAGTTTCAAGGGTGTTGACTTTTTCTCCCACAGGGAAAGTACCTATTATATTAGCTAATGGAAGTCAAAAGCCAAACACATTCAGTGAGCTATGTGAGGCAACAGAAGCTTCAGAACTACCCAACACAGAGATTTTAGGCTACACACAGAATACATGTGCAACTACAGACTGTACAGAAAATACCAAGACAAAAATCCTTCTCTTTGTTTGTCTCAACCATAGCAGATCTCTTGCCCACATATTCTTAAAGCAAAGCTGCATAACAAGGGATAGTCAGTAAGGTATTTCATCATTGCTTAATTGGTTGGCAACCTTCAAAGTAAAGCTCATAAAAATGGCTAATCTTTTACTTTTTAGAATCTCTTACTGATATGTGAGTTATCATTTCAACGTGGCAATGTTTATCCTTTTTTATAAAGTGACAGTTGTCTTTGCAGAAAAATGACCGGTTTCACATCCTCTCCCCTCAGCCTCGCCTACTAGGAAGAGATGTAGGAGCAGTCAAGTTCTCCTGAGTGGCCACTGCTTCTTGGTGTCATTCCTCCCTTCAGGTAACAGTGACCCAGGTCTGTCCCAGGAAAATACCACTTCTCCATTAAAAAGTCTAAGTGGCTGTCAATAAAAATGTCCGGCTCTGCCCTAGCTAAGTGATGCAGTCGTGGCCAAGTTGGGCCAATTGGAGGCTCCCTCCCTTGGAATGTGAATCTTGGGGTAAAAGGAAAAAGAAATATCGAAAACAACTGAAGTCGATTCTCTGAAATACATCCCTGCAAATTAACGCAATGACCCTGTTCAATTTATGAGAATGCTCTCCTCAAACATTAGTGCCTACTTTCAGAAAGCCAGAAGAGAGTCACCAAGAGCACAATAATCTTTTTCCTCTTAAAATAATGTCAGCCTGCCTGTCTCAAAATGGAGCTACGTAAAGAGCAAATAAGCTGCTCCATGCAAAATAAGCCCTTCTCCACACTGAATATGAAGTACAAGAATGACACTGATGACCCAAACGGAAAAGGTGATTTAAATATCCTTTTAAATTGGATGACACATTTGTGGTGAAATAGCTAGTTTCTCCAGTAATCTTTCTCTAGGAAAACTGGACAGCTGTTTAACACACATTATAGCATGTGCCATACTAACGCTTGAGGTATCAGCCATAACTTTTCTAGGCAATTCTCTTGAAATAATATATAATAGGATATAATGCAGCTTACATATTTACATATGCCTATGTAAAGTTCTCCAGGCTACTTGAAACATGGAACTGTCAAAATGAATCATGGTCTTTTAGTGCTTTTCTCATAAGAGGTTTCTTTTCTTATTTCTCCACTATCCCTTCCTTTACCACCGTACCCCTCTCTTCAACCTAGTCCAGACTTTACTGTCTGAAAGAAAATACTCTTATGCTATCAGTCCCTTCTCAGGAGGAAGCACCATCCTAGGTATCATGTAGCTGAGTACACCTGACTGCTTTAACCTTTTAGAGACCTGGTGAAAAGTCCTTACACATTTACTTGCCAGTTTCAAATTTCTGTATTACATCCTTTGTGGGGTTTTTTCCTAATGTAAACTAACTATTTCAATAAAGTGATTTTTGCAGAAAAACAAACAAACAAAAATATTGTACTAATCAAGACGTAAATAGCAACTTACTTCCAGAAGTTTAATCTTCCACCTTTAGAGGCATCATTTATAATAGTGCTGATTCCACCTTGAACCACTGAGGCTTGTATAATCACACACAGAAACCCAGCCAACATGATTCCAACTTGGAAAACATCCGTCCAGATAACTGCCTTAAGACCGCCCTTTGAGGGGAAAGTGTATTAGGATTAATGCTTCTGTCAGACATTATTAAGCACCTTCATGCTTATACATTCTGCTGTACAAACTTATTGAATACATGGATCTTGACCAAGAAGTGCACTTAAGGGAGATAGGCTGGGAAAGCCATCAAGAAAAGGTGATGTTTAAGCCAAACCTTCAAACATACAAGAGGCAGAGACAGAAGGTCCTCCCAGCAGAGAAAACAACATGGGCAAAAGCATAGAGAGGTCAAAGTATGTGGTATATTGAGTATAGCTAAATATATATTTTGGAGGAAAGTGGAGTGGTATGGGGAGACTGTTGGGAAAAATATTCAGAGTAAAATGGTAAACAGCAATATCATAGATTTTATCCTATAGGCAGGGCTGGTCTTCAAACAGCATGCACACAGAAGGTCATCCCAATTGTTGGAATACTAAAATAGTTTTGAATTAGCCACTGCCACAAAATTCCTGAGTATCCCCCTCCAGTCCCTTTGACTTTGACACCACTCCACCTAAAAGACTCAGTAATTAAAAGGTTAAAGCCTAGATTAAAGCCTAAGGGCCAGGATCCACTGGGAGTATCAGTACTCAAGCCAAACTAGTCCTTAAATATTGTGCCTGTCCCTAAAGATGTGAGAAGTTATCTCAGGTTTCTAGCCTGAGGAATAACATAAACACAGCTATATAATAACTTGGCAACCATAAGGAAGACAAGATTAGGGACCATTGCATGGTTCAGGTGAAAGAAAACATTTTCAGTTATGGTTAATGTTCTAAAAAGGACCAAAGAATTCTGTCATTTACCCCAGGCTGAATATTCATTACAAAAATGTATACTGTGGGAGATAAGAGAGTAGGTGTGAACAACCCAGATTGCAGCATGCAACTACTGGAATTTTCAATTTTGCAAAGCAAGCGTATAGAGTGAAGGGAGAAATAATGTTGTTGACATACCAGTGTACAGTAGAATGTGCAGACGACCCCTGTAGCCACTACTGCGCCCCACAGATCAAATCCTGTGACTGTTGAAGAAAGGAAACACATGTATAACCGTGAAATATGCATAATAAAAGTGCTTCTCAAAACATCAGGGGGAAGCTCTATCCTTTATTGGGTACCCTTTTACCTAAAACTAGACCCAAATCTCATAAGGTATACTAAAAAAATTGGAGTTTAAAATTCTATTTGATGAGTTAAATAGAGCTGGTCTCTAGCCTCAGATAACATACATAGACCCATAATTGGCTAAATTAAATATCTGAAAAACATTTAGATTGTAATTAAGCTAAGAAACTGCTTCATAACATGAAGTAGCTATTCAATGAAGACCAAGGGTATTCATCATCATGGTTCAAATAAACACATTGTCCTACCAGTCCTTGAAAGACAAGTTGTGCATATTACTAAAATGAGACTAAGATAGAGAAAAGCCTATCTAATTTTCTACCATTTATCTAAGTAGCGGAGGGGCATATTATATTTTATAAAATAGAAGGATGAATCTATGGCCACATATTTGATAATGAATGAATTCCTCAAAAGACGTAATTTGTTGCAATTCACTCAAGAAGAAATAGGTGATCTGCATAGACCTATATCTATTAAAGAAATTGAATTAATTATCTTCCAAAATAAAAAGCTTCAGCTCAGATGGGTTCACTGGTGAATCCTAGCAAACATTTAAGATAAAAATTATACCAACTCTCTACAATGGCTTTCAGAGGAGAGAGACAGGAAATACTTCCTAACTCATTCTATGAGGCCAGCATTACCCTACTATCAAAACCAGGAAAAGACATTACAAGAAAAGAAAACTAGAGACCAATACTCTTAAGAACAGAGATGCAAAAATCCTCAACAAAATATCAGTGAATCAAATCATAAAAGTGTAAAAAGAATTATACACTATGACCAAGTGGGATTTATTCCACATATGCAAGGCTGGTTCAGTATCTGAAAATCAATTAATGAAATTTATTATATCAATAGGCTTTAAAAAAGAATATTACATGATCATATTAATAAATGCAGAAGCATTTGACAAAATCCAACACCCATACATGATAAAGACTCTCAATAAACTAGAAATAGAGGGGAAATTTCTCAGCTTGATAAAGATTATCTACAAAAAAACCTACAGCTAACAAACATCGTAATTAATGGGGAGAAAATGGAAGCTTTCCCACTAAGATTGGGTACAAGGCAAAGAAATCTCCTCTCAACACTCCGTTTCAACATCATACTGAAATTCCTTGCTAATACAATAAAGCAAGAAAAAGACATAAAAGGTCTACAGATTGGGAAGAAAGAAATAAAACCCTCGTTGTTCACAGATGACATGATCATCTACATAGGAAATCCGAAAGAATCAATAAAACATCTCCTGAAACTAATAAGGAATTATTACATGGTTGCAGGATACAAGTTAATATACAGACAGAAGTCAATTGCTTTCCTCTATACCAAAGATAAACAAGTGGAATTTTGCTGGTGCTTTCACACCACACCAATTTCTTAGAAAATGGATCAACCACTTTCATCTTGGCTCCCTCTTTGCTGCCTTTCATAAAGTGCTTGTTTGTTCTTGCCAACCTCCATGGTGCTGCTCAGGAGGCCAAAAGTCGAATCATAATTTTCAAAGAATGAAATTTACTCATGTTTATGAAGTTAATTTTTCATTAAAATTGTTTTTAAACTTTAAAAAACACATTACTAGTTATATTAGCACCCCAAAATAAAATACTTAGCTATCAATATAACAAAATATATGCAAGATCTATACGAGGGAAACGACAAAACTCTGATGAATAAAATGAAAGAACTAAATAAGTGGAAAAATATTCCATGTTTATGGATAGAAAGACTGATTACTGTTAAGATCTGAGTTCTTCCCAGTTTCATCTATAAATTCAATGCAATCCTAACCAAAGTACCAGCAAGTTATTTTGTTTATAACTACAAACTGTGTAGAATCAAAAAACTGATTCTGAAGTTTATGAGGAGAGGCAAAAGTCTCTGAATTGCCAACACAATATTGAAGGAGAAGAACCAAGTTGGAAAACTGACTCTACCTGAAGGCTTACTATAAAGTTACAGTAATCAAGGTAGTGTGGCATTGGCAAAAGAATAGACAAGTAGATTGGTAGAAAAGAAAAGAGAACTCAGAAACAAACCTCATAAGTACAGTCAAGTGATCTTTGGCCGAGTAGCAAAGGCAACTCTGCTACTCTCTTTACCAAGGGGTAAAGACAGTTTCATCAATAAATGGTGAGGAACAGTTAGATATCACAGGCAAATAAACGTAACTCCAGATACAGATCTTCCACCCTTCACTAAAATTAAACCAAGATGGCTCATAGGCTTAACTGTAGAATGCAAAATTATTAAGTTCCTAGAATATAACAAAGGAAAAAAAAAGATACCTAGGATATAAATAGATACCTAGGATATAAATACAACACCAAAGACACAATCCACTACAGAAATAGTTGATCAGTTAGACTTTATTACATTAAAATTAAAAGTATCTTCTCTTAAAAAAAATACAGTATCACAAGAATTAGAAGATAAGCCACAGACTGGGAGAAAATTGTACAAAAAAAACCTGTTATCAAAAATGTACAAAAAGAAAACCTCTTAAAAGTTAATGTTAAGAAAACAACCCAATTCAAAAATAGCGCAAAGATTTTAACAAACACCTCGCCAAAGAAGATACATAGATGGAAAATAAACATATATAAACATATGAAAAAAATCCTCCACATGATATGTGATCAGGGAAATACAAATTAAAATAACAAGATACCAGTACACACCTAACAGAATGGTCAAAATGTGGAATACTGACAATACCAAATGCTGATGAGGATATGGAGCAACAGAATTCTTTCATATATTGCTGGTGAAAATGTAAAATAGTCAAAAGTAGTGGCCATTTTTAAAGACAGTTTGGCAGTTTCTTATAAAACTATACTCTTACTACACAATCTAGCAATCATGCTCCTTGGTATTTACCCAAAAGAGTTGAAAACTATGCCCACACAAAAACCTACACACATATGTTTACAGCAGCTTTCTTCTGAGCTTCCACTACTTGAAAACAACTGAGATGTCCTTAAGGAGGGGGGTGGATAATTAAATTGTGGAAAATCCATACAATGGAATATTATTCAACACTAAAAAGAAATAAGTTTTTAAGCCACAAAGTAACATGAAGGAAAGTTTTTTATTTGAGGGAGAGGGAGCAGGAGGCAGCGGGGCGGGGGAGACATCAACTTGTTGTTCCACTTATTTATGCACTCATTGGTTGCTTCTTGTATGTGCCCTGACTTGGATCGAACCTGTAGACTTGGTGTACCAGGCGATGCTCTAACCAACTGAGCTACCTGGCCAGGGCAACATGTGGGAACTTTAAAAGCATATTACTAATTAATAATAGAAGCCAATCTGAAAAGACTACATACTGCATGATTCCAACTATACGCTTTCTGGAAAAGGCAAAACTATAGAAAGAATAGTGCTTGCCAGAGGACGGGGGGAAAGAATAGCCAGAGCACAGAGAATTTTTAGGGCAGTAAAAATACTCTGTATGATGTGATGATGAATGTATGTCATTACACATTTGCCCAAACCCACAGAAGGTACAGACCGAGAGTGAACTCTAAGGTAAATGTGGACTTTGAGTGATCATGACGTGACAATGTAGATTCATTCTTGGTAACAGATGTACCACTCTGGTGAATGATATTGATAATGGAGGAAGCTAGGCATGTATGGGGGCGGAAGGTATACTGAAAATCTCTGTACCTTACTCTCAATTTTGATGAAACATAAAGCTTCTCTAAAAATTATCTTTAAAAAAGTGTAAATATTTTTTTAAAAAAGAAGGATAAATTAAAAAACAGGAATAAAGTTACCTGTGGGGAGGGGGAACAGGGTAGGAGAGACTGTGATGTAAATTAGGTTTCTCTAAACATATTTTATTTTGTAGACTGGACTTTGGAACCATGTAAACGTTCTACTTCATTATAAAATTAAATTAAAAAACTCCTAAAAATCAAAAGCAAAATGAAATAAATTAACTTAGGTGTATATCAAATTTGTGATATAATCACAGAGAAATTAAATATGTCAAGAGACTTTAATACACAATAATTTAATAGACATCCCTATTGGGATACACCCTAAGGGAAAAAACTTCAGAGTAATAAATTTTAATTGTTTTTGGTTATCATATTATTAGTAAAAATGTTGAAATTGTTAATTGAAAACTATTACATTAGTAGTTCTCAACTTTGTACATTAAAGGTACCAGAGAAGAATTTTAAAATCCCAATGACTCTGCCACTCAAGAAGCCAATTAATTCAGAATCACAAGGACTGAAAGCCAGGCATTAGCAGTTTTTAAAAATTCCCCAGGTGGATCCAATCTGCAGCCCAGCTTGAGAAAACAGTATATGTCTACACATATATTTGCATAAAGAAAATAATCTTGTTACTATTCTTTTTTTTTAAAAAAAAAACAAGAGTTTCAGCATAAAATAAGAGACAAAATATAAAATCAAATTAGTTAGGCAAAGAAACTGTACTCCCAAATTTGAATTCAAAAATTGGAGAAATTAGCATGAACTCTTTTTTTATTTTTTTCTTTAATATACATCCCCCAGTTCTGTCCACTAAAAAGACCTAGAATAAATGACCAACTCAGTAGCAATGAATACCTCTAATATTTAGATTGTGGTCTGTAAATACAATTTCCCCTCAAAAAGAATAACTGATACCAGGACAGGTGCCAGGAAATTTACTAGGTAAAACTGAAACATCTTGCTCTTCCAGAAAACAAGGTAGCTATTAAACACTATTGTAATCACATCAAGTGGTTCCAAGAGACAACTTAATGAGGCTCCTGCTGGACAAAAATGAGACATTAATGTTAATGTTTTAAAGTGATGAAGTTCCAATTCAGTTAAACAAGTTTCTACTGAGTACTGTTACACAGTAAGTAATATGTCTATTCTTGTGACTACCACCTCGGTCACTATGAAGCAGACAATTGATATTCAAGGGGTCAAAATGCAGTCCCTTGGGTTCTCATTTATTCCAAAGGAGTTTCTCAATAAACTGAAAAAAACAGAATGTTTGGTGAAGGTACTGCTCTCTTTCTCCTAGAACTGCACATTAAAACCGCACTTTAAAACCCTAAAGACAAAATCTTCACTAACACTTACAGTCAATAGGTAACTTATGAAGTTTATAGCTCAGTTTTTTTACATATGATTCATTCATGATGTTGGTACTATTGACATGGAACATGCCTAACATTCAGAAGTCAAGAGCACATTACATAATGGAGTTGTTTGCAATGAGACCGCCGCACTTCATAAAATTGGGTGATAACTACTATCAATCTATAATGAAATAAGAAAAATTAAAGTGTGGAGTTAGCAAGGTATTTTTTTTCATTTTATATTAACTCCAGGGATTGCACCATATTCCTCCCATCACAGAGTCCATTTGTCCATTTCACCAGGAAGTTTTAGAGGTAAACTCCCTTCTGATTGATAAGAATTAAGGATATAGAGTTTCCCTGAAGCCTTTTGAGATTATAACTGACATAAACCTGTGCCTCAGTAAATTATCCCGGTTTCACAGCTATTATCTGCCTAAAGCTAGAGAGTGTAGTAATGTGTTGATCAGCACAACCTTTGTCCATTTGTTTCTAAGGGCCCTATAGTCATCTGTCCTTTTACTAGTAGCAATAGTCAAATCACACAAATCTATTTATTTTGCTTTTTGGACCACAATAGAAATGGGGAGAAGAAAAGCGTCTTTCCCTGCCAGGTGTTAGAACATAACTGAGCCAAACAACAGGAAAAAGCATCTTGGAGATGGACTCCAGTTTGCAGCCACAAAGGAGAGAAGTGCAGTCATTCATGATTCTGACTATAGAGGGCGCCCCTTCTGAAGGAATGGTGAATGGCTGTTCAGCACCTCCCCGGGACGCGCTTGCTTAGTGAGGTCTGTCCTACTAATGAACCCTTTTGGAACTCTGGATTCAGGAATTCAAAGAAACTGCTAGTGTAGATGCTGAACCCACCTTTCCTGCCTCTAGCTGACGCAGGTTTTTGGAAGCATTCCTCCATCTCCCCAGAAAATAAAGTCTATTAAAAGTGAACCCCGAACGTAACATAATTGATAACTCTAAAATGTACCTTGATTCAAAGCCAGGGCAGGGGCATAAATAACAATTCCAGTATACAGAACCTAGAGGGAAAAAAGAAGACCAAGTGAATGATATGAGTTATAAAATATAATATGAATATTTTTCTACAAATTCAATTGTAAATTAAAACAACAGTTTGATATACTTAATAAAATGTGTTCATAACTTGAAAATATTACTTAGTAAAGTTAATTCCCCTTTTCCATGTGTGGTATAGTCATAGGTTATAAAAATCTTTTACGACCATTTTGTGTAAAAATACGGACTTTTCATGTGGTGCTAGTGTAGACAGCCACTGACCCCCCAACTCAAGCTAGAAATCAGTTTTCCTATGTCTGAAACAATTAGAAAGAAAGAATATAAATTTAAAAGTGGATGATCCCTCAGTCATATGCCTTCAAACTATTGTTAATCACTGCATAATTAATTAGGAAAACAGTGAAAATTTTAAAAACTGATTTGTAAAAGTCTGCATGGCCATTAATTAAACAAAAATGTAAATTTGCTCTAAAAACTCATGAAAGCCAACCAAAACTGCATTCCACCTTTTTTATATTATTTATTTTGTTCATTCATACATGTAATAAATACTTATTAGTCTGGGGTGCAGTAGTGAATAAGATAAATAAGGTTTTTTTCTCAAATATCATTTCCATTGCACTTGATATTTCAAATACATCACAGAAGCTGACTCTATGATTACTCTATACAAAAATGAAAAGAACCATCTTAGGAAAAGAACTTTATCATGTAGTGTTGAAAGTAAGTCCTTCGTATGGGAGATGCTAAAGCTCCCCTCTTTTTTGTAAGAATGAACTAGCTTTCCAGTAATTATTCTGTTCAAGCAGATTTGAAATGTGACCACAGGCCACCTTAACACTAGTGACCACTTTTCATTTCTGTTGGCATCTCTAACAATGATCCAGAGAGGGTCTGAACTGTTAGCAAATACAAGCTACAGGCCTCAGCCCTATGTCAGAATGTCTACCAGACCCCAAATGGCTCCTTCCTTTCATGCTGCAAGTGTTAAGGACTGATATAATTTAAGTAATGTAATTCACAAAGATATAAAATGGAGTTGAGCTACATAATTTACAAAGGTGTTCTGTCATGCTATAGCAAATGCTTAGGTAGCTGTTGATTGGAGAAATGCTATTGTTTAGGCATTTAGATAAGAATGAAATAAAGATAAGAATGAAAACTTCTTTCTAGGCTTCCATTATCAAAACCATCCCTAAAGTACTTGGCTGCCAAAAGGAAGACAGATGTAACTCCTGTGGCAATAATCACGGGGAGCCTCCAAAAGCCTGAATGAAGGGTGGAAAGCCTCTCTGGCACCGACTGCTTGGCAAGTCTTTGCTTTCCATTGTGCCAAACAGTAAATCTATGCTTGGCATATTCTCAAATTATGAATTGTGTGCTTGGCTTTAAAAACACCCCCAGAATGTATGGCTCTATTGTTTTACCCCCAGTGGCTGCTTTAATTGGGTCTGAAGGCTCAGTTTTTAAAAGGGAGAACAGATCCATTTTTTTAAAGTATGCTTTCAAAGAAAATTGTTTCCTTATGTCTTCCTACCTCAACTAATTTTTTTCAAACCTATTATTTAACATATTGCAAAACTACTGTGAAACATGTAACTTGTTTTCCCTTTGTTAAAAGTCCTGTTCTCAGCTACTAGAGCTCTTTCAAAAATCTTTGTCATCTCAACAATGCCCTTTACTGTCACTTTGGTGGGGAGGGGGGCTAAGGAACAGCATATTTCCTAAAACAACATAACTGTTGCTTGATCAATATAACATTTAACGTTCACTTAAATCATTGTTTTCCCATGAGGAAATTCATTTGTTAAAACACTGTTCGGTGATCTTAAGGATTAATGCTGTGTAGTGACGAGCATTTTTCCTTTTTGTTTCCTCCTATTTTCAACATCTCTTTTTTATCCTTTATGTGTTTACCAAAAACACTTGGCCCAGATGCCCTGACTGAAAACATTTTAGGTGACAAAAGGTAAAATAAACTAATGGAGAGCTACTTACTGTTTGAATAATGTAGACGATTGTTCCACAGAGACGAACATATTTGTTAAATCGAAGTTCTAAATACTGTTTCCAAAAAAAGGGAAAAATGGTTAATATGTAAAATGTCTGGACACGCCTTTTTTTCTTTTTCTTTTTTGTAAATCAGCAACTTAAGAAGGAGTTAGAAATTTAAACTTCATAAGTAATTTGTATTCTCTATTTCTATTTTACTATTATTTTTATTTACACACAGCAAAATTGACTCTCGTTTTAGAGTACAGTTCAATGAGTTTTAACACATGCAGAACAGCTCCCTAACCCCCAGAAAACTCCCTCATGTTGCTTTTTTGTCATCAAACTCTGCCCCCACCCATCAATCTTGGCAATCAACTGATCTATTCTCTGTCCCTAGTTTTGCCTTTTCCAAGATGTCATATAAATGAAATTATTTTCTGCATTTTTAGCATAAGAAAAGTATTGTTTTACCGTTGCTCTTGGTACCTACTTCATACAGTTCCCCTGCTTCACTTAGGGAATCAATCCTTTCCCACTGCAGGCAATTGTGATAGAACTGTCAATCAAGGTGCCCCGCCTATTCTGACCAAGGAGTGGTCACATGACCCACGCTCAGCCAATTGGCTTCCCTTCTCAGTGGCTTGATTGAATCTTAAGAGGCAAGATATGAAGACAGAAAACGATCGGAGCAGGAGCAGGCTGATTCCAACAGGGTGGCCTGAGAGGCTGCCTTGGCTTCTGTCTTTTCAGTCTGCTCAGCTTTTCTCTCTCTTGTATGAGCTACTCCCACATCCTTCTAATGATGTTTTTAACTTAAATCAACCAAAGTCAATTTCCGTTCACAACCAACACCCTTGCCGTTCTTCCTACTCTCCTTGACATCTGTTATATCTCATAATGTAGTCTGCTATCTCCTATATTATACATGAGAATGTATTATAGAGTTAGAATCCTAGAATTTCAGAGCCAGAAGGAAGCTGGAATCCAAGACATTCTTTAACTTAAATATTATTACTACATGTAGAGAGAATTTTAATATGGACAACGATAGTCTTTTCATATAGCAGAAAAAAAGAAGAAAAAGCTAACATTAGGTAATAATCAAGGGGCGGGGGGAAGGGTATTTTTGCTCCATAATCACAGCTAACATTTATAAAGTATTTGCTTTGTATACTGTCCTCTCAACAACTCCATGAGCAGGTACTAAGTATAAGCGCATGAGGACACCGGGGCTCAGAGAGAACCCCAGCATTGCAACCTAATAATTGAATGTATATAGCAAGTTGAAGCAAGTAACTTGGTTCAATAAAGTTCCCCCTCTCCCCGCCCCCGCAAAATCAGCTGGATCCAGGCAAACCTACGGACTTAAGCTCACACAAAACCAATTCAAGATAGAACCAAGAAGTCTATCACTGTCTCAGCTATTGCTGGCTACTGGGCTGCTAAATAAGTACCTGCAGACCTTCCAGAAGCTCAAGTCACTGAGAAGTAGGCTCAGAAAATAGCTCTAGGATTTCTAGATGAAACTAGAGAGTAACAGTAGGTGCCTCTAATTAACCAAGATCTGCCATAGTCCTTGGAACTTTGAATAATTTAGAGACACTAAAACTTCGACTGAATTATTTTTTTTAAAAAAAAGTCTGGACAATTCAGTTTAAACATAGATTTCGCTGGATCTGTAAATAATGAAGAATTGATGAGGAAATCACATTCCTGCTCTATACTTTTTATCTGTGGGTCTGGAAGTTGCTAACTACTATCAGGACTATACTTTGAAGACAGTGATAGGTAGATATCAAAAATGCTTCTGAACAGCTGATTTTAGCTACCAAACTGGAAAGAGGGAGAGATTTTATACTTGAGACTTCTTATTCAGAATGTGTGGCTCCACCTCTCACCATAAAACAAAATATTCCTCTCGAAGACTCACTAGAGCCTCCAGAAGCAGCCAACATGCCCCACTGCGCAGCCTTTAGGCAGGCACCTACTCTGCTTCACACTCTCCTATGAAGCTTAAGTTGCTCTGAGCCTCTTTGTCTGCAGAACAGTGCTCTCTCATAGCACCTCCCTTATAAGGACTGTTTTAAGGACTGAGTTTGATAATATATGTAAAACATGCAGGCAGTGCTCAGCATGTATTAAACATTCAGTAAATGTTAGTTTTTTGTTTGTTTGTTTGTTTGTTTGTTTGTTTCTTTGCAGTGCTCACTGGAACCCTGCTAACAGCCTCCACCACTCTGGAAATGTGTGGGAAATCTGTTTCTGGTTGGGCTAAGTTGCTGTCCTGCAGAGGCACGGGTCAGTGAGTATGAGTGCAGCATTCATCTGTGAGAACTGAAGTCCTCTTGCCAGATTCTTCAAACTCCTAAGTTTTGGAATTGGTTAACTACACAAGCAGAGCTCACAGACTCAAATGCCTACAGGTCCCATCAGGTAACATACGTGAGGTGAGTGGTATCAGCCAGGTGTTCATATATCAATGTGTTGTAATATTCCTCACATCCACTACGAAGTGTGTTCTCACCCTTCTGTTGAAACAATAACTCCCTTTACCTCTCTTCATTTTTCCTTTTGCATTTTTGATAAAGACATAAATGCCAATAAAGATTTCTCTAGCACAAGAAAGTAACACGCAAATGCATTGATGAGTCCTCAACATAGAACTAGGGAGTGATAGAAATGACTGTAAATTGGTGTTCCTGTCGCCTCTTGGGATGCGGGCTCAGTGTCACCAGCATTTGGGGCTTTCAAAACAAACCAGATCTGGAATTTTATTTGACTTCCACCATCATTAAGCGCTAAGTTGGGTTTGTTTTTTTTTTCCAAACACTATAAGTGTGTGGGGGAAAACACGACTGAAGATTGAGTTTGGCCTGGGGCAGCCAGTTTGTTACCTTTGCGCAAAACAGAAATTCCATCCTGCTCACTTCTAGGATGATGACTTGAATGCCCCCAAACACAATGACCAGAGGAGGGCAATGCTGTCCCAAGGGTGCCTTGCCCTGGATGACATCATTAGAACCCACACAATTTGTCACTAGCACTTACTGTGCCACTGGGACCCTGTCCACAGCACCAGTTAAACCAGCTTTACTAGGAAACCAACTTCCAGTGACTCTGGATTGGAGCAAACACTACATAAGTTCAAGGACAGAGGGAGCTGCTGAGAAGGAGGCCCGGAGTCCTCCGGATAACGGCCTATTAGAGAGGAAACTTCTGTAAGTCTGTGTATGTGGCTCACGGGTTAGTGCCTGGGTAAAAGGGACCACTGAGGGCACTGAACTGGACCCCATCAGTCCCTGAGCTTTTCCCCTCCCCCTACACTCCCATTCAACAGCTCTTTAAACCAAACCAGGCCTGACTGGTATGGCTCAGTGAGTTGGGCTTTGTCCTGCAAACCAAAAGGTCGCCAGTTTGATTCCCGCTCAGGGCACGTGCCTCGGTTACAGGTTTGGTCCATAGTCAGGGCGTGTACAAGAGGCAACCCACTCATGTTTCTCACTCACAAAGATGTTTCTCTCCCTCTCTTTCTCCCGCTTTTCCCCTCTCTCTAAAAATAAATAAATAAAATGTTTTTAAAATAATTAATAAAATCAAACATTCTAAACTAAACCAAAGATTCAGCACCGTTACAACGTCCTATCCTGCAAACGGCTTGAGAAAACCTATAACCAATGGGCCTGTGCAATGGGAAAGACAGTTTCCCTTAAGCATCTTTCCATAGAGAAGGGGGAGCCGTTTAAGAACTTCACAGACAAATTTTCCTCGTGATCCCAAAATAACCACCTCTACCACCACCACACCAGTACTTCTAGCCAATATTTAGTCAGCACTGACCCTGTACCAGACACTATTTTAAATGCTACACTTGCATCACAACTTTTAATCCTCCCAACAGCTGGGTGAGGTAGGTGGTATCATTATTTTCGTTTTGAGATGAAGAAGTAGGCGCAAAAGGTTAACTAACTCACCCGAGGTTATCCAGCTAGTAAGTGGCAGAATCTGACCTCAAAAGCAAGCACTGGGACAAGAGATGGAGCAACTTAACTGGAGCACCTGCCTCTCTTTGGAAAATGTGTTGTGTGGCGAGGCAAAAGGGGGAGCATAATGTCTCCCCAACTATCCTGGGAAAGTGAGCTGAGCCTGAGCACCTGGAACACGCGACTGATTTGGAGGAGGAGGAGAAGATAAAAAGTTTTAAAATCTTTCTTCTTGACTCGGAATCAGAGATGTTAAAGCAGAAAGGGCCTTAGGGAGCACACGTCCACATCATTCCATTTACGTTGGACGAGAGTTAAGGCCCAAGACTTTCGTCTCCTTTACAGGACGCCTCTTCCCCAAAGGGGATGGAGGGGGCGAGGTGGACCGGCACCCGGAGAGGTTTCATCTCGGTGGTGGGTCTGCCGCCTGGAAAATCCCTTCAGGCTCCTGACAAGTTCTCCCCTCGCTCCTCCCTGGCCCACCACCTCACCCTTTACCTCGTAGGTGCTGGTAATTCCCAGTTTATAGAACACCGGGAGGTAGACCTCCGCGCTGATAACCACCACAAGGAGGTAGGTGAAGCCAAAGAGGATGAATATGGCTCCGAAACGGTACACCTCGGTGGGGGTGCCCAGGACGGTGACTGCAGACATGAAGCTGGCGGTGAGGGACAGCGCCACCGGCACAGCGGTCATTCTGCGGCCGCCCATCAGGAAGTCCTTGGAAGTCTGCCGGCTCTTCCCCGCGAAGGCATAGTAAATGCCGATGACGGCGGAGATGAGCAGCATCCCGGCGAACACCACATAGTCCCACACCACGAAGGTGCCGATGGCCCGCGACCGGTCCATGGCCGCACGGTTGCCGGGGCCCTGAGCGCGAATTGCCGACTCTAAGGAGCGCAGCCTGAGCTCTTGCTTTCCCTGCGCGCCTGGCGCTCACTTCTTATTTCCCTGCGCCGCGGGCGTGGCGGGCGCGGCGCCCGGCGGTGATTGGAGGCGTCCTCCGGCCGCCTGTCCCCGCCGGCCCCGCAGCTCCGCGAAGTGCGGAGAGGGATACGCACCGGCAGCAGCCTCTGCATCCACCACCGCCAACAGAGCCCTCGATGTGGGGCTTCCGAGGACGGCCCCCCCCCCGCCCCCCGCCAAGCCGAGCTAAGTGCTCGCCAGGTGTCAGGCCGGAGTGGCTCGAATCTCCCAGGGGCCGGGGACACTTGGGCAGGTCAGAACTGAAGCCACCAGTCTCATCTGGCGGAAGCACAGAGAGAGCTCAGCGCGAACTGAATCAACTGCCCTAAGGAGACGCAGAATTTAGATGAGGCAGTGACTGATTCGGGAGTGTGGATCGAAGGGCAGCTGTCCTGCTGTCCAAGTTCAAAAGTCCAAGTCCTCATGAGAAGATACACCCGGGATTTTTAGATCTCCTTATTTGGTAAATTAATGGGTGGCTGGGGTGACAGCGTGCACTGAGCTGAAGTGCCAGTCCTGATGCAGGTAGGCGATTATAAAGGCAAGGAGGAAGTCTCTGCTATTGGTTGCCTACGTTTTCATTCAACACATTTTTGATACTACCTACTATTTAATGAGCCTTCCCATGTGGTATATAACATGCTTGGCACCTTATACATCGACCAGTGTAATTCTTGCTATGACCTTTGAGTTAAGGATCATCTCCATTTTTCAAATGAGGAAACTGGTTGAGAAAGATTAAATCACTCGCCCAAGGAAACAGTGGAGATTAAGATTTTTAATCCAGGTCTGATATCAGAATTTGTTCTCTTAATCACGTGCTATACTTGTAAAGTTCAAAGGTGTTAAATGTAGGCATAAATATGCACACTTAAATGAAGACACTTGAAAGCACATGGAAGACCAGATCATTTCCAGTACCAGTACTCAAGATATATTTTAAGTGGCTTACCTTGAAATATTACTCACAACGCATGAGACACACTTGTAAAGTAGTATGATTCTCAGGTTTTTCTTCTAAAACAGACCGTCCAGCCAAATGTGCCAGGCATAGGTCTCTTTCAGGCCATCTTTGTTCATTTTTATACATCTGTACAATTTATCATTTGGTCCTTGGTAAACAATCCTCAGCATGCATTTAACCCAGCCCAGTATGTGAATAAAGCATTCACATTTTTTTTCTTGGTAACTTGGCATTATTTGTAAAACATTTTCACAAGGAAATAAAGACGGAAATGAAAGTTAATCCAAATAATGCAATTACTTAAACAAATATGTGGTCTGAAATTATGTTCCAACCTAGTAAAATTTACTGTATCTATATATTATATGTATTTATCCCTATATTTATGTCTATTTTATATATATACATATACATACAGCCACATGTATGTGTGTGTATATATACACACATATATTAAAGAGAGAGAGAGAGAGATCAACCGCAACCTGCAAGCATAACACAGAGGAATCCTACACAAGAACTCCTTTAGCAATTCATTCAATTTCCTGGAAACTTCCTGTAAAGCCAATAGACCTAGATATGAAAAACTCATAACTATTTAAACAAAACTCATTTTCTTTAGATATCTAGAGTGAGGAACAGAACCTCAGGCAGCTGCTGACCAATATATCTTTATAGTCATGTGAGAGGCAGAAGAGCTTGAGGTTAAACTCCAGACCCTGAAACCTGACTTCCTGACTTTGTTATCTACCAGGCACAATATCTTGAGCAAGTACATACTTCTATGTTTTACTTTCCCACATTGAAAATGAGGATAGTAATTCTTTTCTTACATTGTGATAGAGGATTAAATGAGATTACATACAAACAGTCCCTGGCACTGTAAGTGCTAGCATTGTATAATTGCCCAGCTGTTTTCCCGTTTATGGAGAATGGGGCTGGTGTGAGTCTTGGAAATGCTGCCCATCTTCCCTAGTTAGTTTCTCTTGTTTCATAACATTTACACAATGTCATGAACTATGTATAACCTATACCTTGTGCTCCTTTAAGATCTTTCAAATATCTGATATACGTATCCAAAGAATGTTTTCTTTTTTATTTACTGATATTTTTTTTTTAGAGAAGGAGAGAGAGATAGAGACAGAGAGACAGATGAACATCAATTTGTTTTTCCACCTATATATGCATTCAACCAATGAATGCATACGTAAGTGTGTGCCCTGTCTGGCAGTTGAACCTGCAGCCTTGGTGTACCAGGATGGTGCTTTAACCAACTGAGCTACCCAACCAGTGCAAATAATGTTTTCAAAAGAATACACGAATTTCTATTTTCTGAGCCTTTGAATATATGAAGTTATCTGTTGTTTTGTTTTCACACATGAGAAGAAAATTCAGCTGAGAAAACCTTATGTAGTAATCTTTTTATTCAAAATTTATCGATATTTTTCTATTATATTTTTTAAAGTTAAAAAGTTCAATTACAGATGACATTCAATATCATATTAATTTCAAGTATACAGCATAGTGGTTAGACATTTACTGGTATATAACTTCTGAAGTGATCCACCTGATATGTCTAAGCGCTCACCTGACACCATCCCTACCTATTACAACATCATTGACTATATATGTTATGCTGTACTTTACATGATCATGACTATTTTGTAGCTTATTAATTTTGCTTCTTAACCTCTTCTCCTTTTTCACTCAGCCCCTCAATCCCCTTCCATCTGGCAAACATCAGTTCTCTGTATCTATGAGTTTGTTTCTGTTTTCTTTGTTAATGTATTTTGTTCCTCAAATTCCACATATAAGTGAAACATATGGTAGTTTTCTCCCACTGCCTGACTTTCTTCACTTAGCATAATACCCTCTAGACTCATCCACGTTGTTGGGAATGGCAAGATTTCATTCCTTTTTTATGGCCGAGTAATATTTCATTGTCTATATATACCACATCTTCTTTATTCATTTGTCTATTGAGGGACATGTAGGTTGCTTCCATATCTTGAGTATTGTAAATAATGCTGCAATGAACATAGTAAGGCATATGTTCTTTCAAATCAGTGTTTTGGATTTCTTTGCATAAATACCCAGAAGTGGGATTGCGGGGTCATGAGTTTTTGAGGAACCTCCATAGTGTTCTTCACGTCCTTGTCTCCATATCCTTACCAACACTTGTTTGTTGATTTATTGATGATAGCCACTCCGATAGGTACGAAATGGTATCTCATTGCGGTTTTAATTTGCATTTCTCTGCTGATTAATGAAGTTGAGTATCTTTTATATGTCTACTGACCATCTCTTTGTCCTCTTTGGAGAAGTGTCTATTCAGGTCCTTTGCCCATTTTTTAATTCGATAGTTTACCTATATAGGGCTGGCATGTGAAAATCTCTTATAGGAAATGTTGCAATGATGTCTGTTGTAACAAGAATATCTGTGTCCAACACTTGGTGAAAAAAAGGACAGTATTTCGAGCTCACAGAAGTTCTAAACACAAGGCTATGTTTGGGAATGATAAGGACTTGTTTGGGAATGAATAATACTTAAAATTATGAATGGGTCAGCTGCCTTCAAATTTATGACTTCAAAAAAATTTAATAACTTCACTGGTTTGTTGCCTAAAAGTTATTTTGGTATAAAAACTAGATTTTTCCCTAAATAAGATAAATAGTATTAGCTATGAGGTACGAATTCTCACTTTTTTGTTTCTCTCCAAACTTTCCAAATGAGTTCAGTTTTACTCCTCTCACTAATGAATGTACTTATAAACATATAAAAATATGAAATATACCTATTTATGTAATACCTTATCACTGGATAGCTCATTCAAGTTTTAGAAGTACAGTTTGTGAATAATGGCTGTTCAAACCACAATAGATATTTTACATATTTTTTAAGTCCCATTTTTGCTGTGTTTACGAAATGTGGCAAAGTATCTGTCTTCCTAGAAAACTAATTGGTGGCTCTGAAAACAGGCAACCTGATGCATCTGAAGGCCATGGACACAGATCCTGAGAAAAGGGCCAAGAGAACCGAAGAGGCTTCCCTGGAAGGAAATTGTGTTTGGATTTCCTGTAACTCACCTCACACTGCTGAGAAGTGTTTCATTACCACTTATCCTGGAACAAGGAAACAAGAATGAAATTTATGCTGAAGATTACAGCATTGCATTATTAATTACATCATATCTTTTTGGAGAAGTTTTTGGGTTTGTTTTTCTTTGTTTTTTGTTTTTTGGTGTTTTTTGTTTGGTTTTTTTTTTTGTAGAAATACAGTTTTCCTGGATGGCTGCTTTAATTTTTTTTTTTAAGCAAAGTAGCTAAAAGGAGGCCTATGAGAATGGAGTGACACTTGCTGTTAATTACTTTGAAGTGGGAAAGGACCTAGAATGTGCTGACATGTGTCATGGCTCACGCAGAGATGGAAACTGCTCAAAGAGCTCTTGAATTTTCACAAGGACCATCTTGGAACAAGCCCCCCCCCGTTTTCTCTCCCTGCACAGTCCCTTTCACTTAGAAATGCTCTCACCCCATCTCCTCCTGTTAGAATCTTACCCATCCTTTGTGGAGCACTCAATTGTCAAAGTTTTTCATGGAATATTTCACTACTCCTAATTTTACCTCCTCTTCAACCAGATATACTCTCTCTCTTGCTTCGAGCCCTCTTCACATGTTAATACTCATGTTTTGGCCTTCGTAGTGGTACAGTATTATAGTTTTAATCAAGGCAGGAATATCTCATGGATTCTGTGAGTCTGGAAACAGAAACTGGAAAGCCACTCTACATTTCTGCCTGGTTTCCCCCCCCTCCCTCTCCAGATGGGTTTTCTCTGCGCTGCCACAGGTACGTGGTCAGCAGCGTCCAGGCCAGTGCATATATGCCCTCATTTCAGTGGGCAGCAGAGACCAATTAGCA